CTCTCTCTCTCTCTCTCCCCTCTCTCACTCTCTCTTAAAAAAAAAAACAAAAAACAAAAAACCCTGGGCTYGGGGCCTCTCAGTGTCACCAGTTGCTGTGTGTGTCCTCGGAGGACCGAGCTAGCTTGCAATAAACACCTCTTTGCTGTTTACATCGATCTTGGTCTCTGGTGGTCTTTTGGGGGTCCCGAATTCGAGCATAACATTTAGTATTTTATTTAGAGACAGAGTCTCACTGCATTGCTTAGCACCTCACTTTTGCTGAGCCTGACTTTGAACTCACAATTCTCCTGTCACAGCCTCCACCAGCCACTGGGATTACTGGCATATGCCACCATGCCTGGCCAGAGTCTTTTTTTTTTTTTTAATTTTTATTAGTTATTGATGAACCTTTATTTGTTTATATGTGGTGCTGAGGATCAAACCCAGTGCCTCACGCATTCTAGGCGAGCACTCTACCTCTGAGCCACAATTCCAGCAGGAAATTCCTTATTTCTTAAAAAGGTTTTTAAGAAAATTGATTCAAATCTATGTTCTAAATTGGATGTTCTAACATTATTTTTAAAAATCATACTTGGGCTGGGGCTATAGTTCAGTGGCAGAGTGCTTGCTTAGCACATGTGAGTCACTGGGTTTGATCCTTAGCACCGCATAAAAATAAATAAAGTAATTCTGTCCATCTGAGAAACTGATGTGACTCCATTTTTTAGAAACCAGCTTCTACCTCAAGGCCTGTCCAGAGGGAGGGGGCATGACCCTTGTCCTTGGAAAAACCCACACAAAGGCTCCTAGGCACACATCCACCCTGCTGAGTTGTTTAACAGGAAAGATCTGGAGTGCCAGGTGAGCAACCACCAATCACCATGAGACAGGGAAAATATCTGAAATGCCAGGTGACCCTCCCAGTAATTTCTGGTGATTGGTAAGAAGATTAGGTCACCCTGCAGATTATTTATTTTATTTTATTTTTAAAATTTTTTTAAGAGGGAGAGAGAATTTTTTTTTAACATTTATTTTTTTTAGTTTTCGGCAGACACAACATCCTTGTTCGTATGTGGTGCTGAGGATCCCGGCCACATGCATGCCAGGCGAGCGTGCTATTGCTTGAGCCACATCCCCAAGTCACCCTGCAGTTTAGCATATACACTCTTGCAACCCCTAAACCAATCAGTTCAAATGTATCCACCACTTGAACTCACCAATCATCCTTACCCAACTTGTTCCCACCAGTGAACATGCTATGTTAAGAGTAGTTGTTTGATTTTCCCATGGTATGAAATGATTTGCTGTGTGATGTTGTGATGCATAGAGTATCCTCCCAAAACCTACAAATCCTCACTGAACTAAGGGCCAGGACTCACTCCTGGGGACTACTGCATCGGAAACGGTTGTGAGTCCAGGCTCCAGCTTGCAATAAAGACTCCTATGTGATTGCATCGGATTCAGCTTCTGGAGGTCTATTGGGGTCCCACAAATCTGGCATTACACATCTACAACTACAAAAATAATATTAAGGCATATTTTCTCTTAAATTGTCAAAAGTGTTGCTGAAACCTCGGTCCTTGTCCCCAATGCCAATCCAATAACAAGGACAAGATTTTGAGAAAAAGGAAAAAGAAGGTTTATTGCTTTGCTAGCAAATGAGAAACACAGGGGACTCCTGTCCCAAAGGCTGTGATTCTACCCATCAGCAGGAACAGGGGTGATTCAGAGAACATGAGATTATCGAGGAGGGATCAGAAAGGAGAAGGTCAGGGGAAAGTCTATGGGAGGAGAAGATTGAGGAAAAAGAGATCAATAAGATCAGGGAAAAGTTTAGGAAAGAGAAGATCAGGGAGAATAAGGTTAGGAAAAAGAAAAAAAAAACATATAAGTTTTAAAGCCACAAGGGATATAGTCAAAGCATCAAGTAAATCCCTGTTGCAAAAGGAATATATTTTCATAGAGTATGTTGAAAATTAGGAAAATCAAGGGTTCTATTTCTATCAGGTGCAGTATTTAGACTGTTATTTTGATAAAGTCCAGTTGCTCTAATATGGTTTGAAAATCCTTGCTCCCTTGGAGTATAATTGCAGGGGAGAAACTGTGGCAAAGGTACAAATTCACCATAATGACTTGAATTGGTTTTGTACATAATCATCTGAGGTTTTGATAGTGAAGTAGCTGTACGGAGTGTCTTTGGGTCCAACATACAGGAAAACACAGGATTGCCAGGGTTCACACAAGGAAGCAGTTGTTCAGGTTTCATTCCTGTGTCTGACTTTGAAGTTGAAGTACTTTTCTTATCCTAAAAGATAAATATATAAAACCATTCTCAATTATTAAAAAATAGAATTAAACTTATTCCTTTCATACCCCTTTTTTGGGGGGGAAATGCTATTCCCTTGAGGGTATTGAAGACTACCTGCTAAATGAGCTTTATTTGGTTCAGAGAAACTTGTCAAAATATTCATAAACATGTTATACTAGCACTATGAAAATCGATTACAAGCTGGGTATGGTGGTGCATGCCTGTAATTTCAGCTATTAGGGAGGCCAGCCTGTGCAATTTAGTGAGATCCTGTCTCAAAAAACCAAAAAGGGCCAGAATATAGCTCAGTGGTAAAGTGCCCCTGGGTTCAATCCCCAGTACTGAGGGGGAAAAAATTAATTCATAGGAAAAGTTTATAATAATAGTCATAGCTGAAGAGGGAGTATACCTCAATTTTTCTAGGGGATAGCCATAACAAAGAATTACAGCTAACAGAATAAGCACAACTGGGAAACTGGGATAAGTGCTATGAAGAAAAATACAAGATATGAAGATATACTGGGGGGCTTTAACCTAGTTTTGGGGGTAAGGAGGGCTGTTCTGGTGAAGTTTTATTAAATCTAAAGGTAGAAAGCAAGGTAGGAAAAGAGATGGAAGCAAAAATCATGGCCAAAGTCAAGTAAATTAGGGTGAAAATGTTTTTAGATAATATAAGAGGCTGAAGCCAGATCTTGCAGGATCTTGGTAATTATGGTAAAAATTTGAGCAGGCTGTGGTGGTGCATACCTGTAATCCCAGTGATATGGGAGGATGCAGCAGGAGGATCTCAAATTCAAGGTTAGCCTCAGCAAATTAGATCATGTCTTAAAAAAAAGAAAAAAAAAAGGATTGGGGATGTATCTCAGTGGTAGAGTGGTCTGGGTTCACCTCTCTCTCTCTCTCTCTTTTTTTTTTTTTTTTTTTTTTTGAGCAGGGCACAATAGAGCATGGCTGTAATGCAGGGACTCAGGAGGCTGAGGCAGGGGAATCAAAAGTTCGAGGCCAACCTCAGCAATTTAGTGAGACCCTATCTTAAAAGGTTTGAGAATATAACTCAGAGGTAAAGCATGACTGAGTTCAATCTCAAGTACCAGAAAAAAAAAATAATAAGATAAAAGCAATGGAAAACTCTTGAAGGGTTTTAAGGAAAGTATGGTGTAATTTTTAATAAAATTGCTTTGGTTTCTCTCCGAGCCTTGTGTAAATGTGGAGAGGAGCTGTAGTAGTCCATGTAGTGTGTGGCACAGACATGGACATAGTAAACACATTTGAAATTTAGTCATTTGAGGGAAGGAGGCAGCAAGATGTTTAAAAAAATGGATGCAAAACTGCTTGTAGCTTTCTAACACATGTGTATAAAAATGTTTTATCTTTAATAATGTCTCTTTCTGTTTTTCATTTGGCACTGGGTATTGATCTCAGGGCTTCATGCATGAAGCAAGTGCTCTATCACTGAGCTACATCCATAGCCCTTTTTTTAAATTTTCAGATAGGGTCTTGCTAAATTGTCCTGGCTGGCTTCCGGTCTCAGCTTCCCCAGCAGCTGGGATTACACACCTGGTCCCTGCACCTGGTCCTAATTTACTGTTATGGCCACCTAGGCAGATTGCCCAAGATAACCTGTGGGCTTTGTTTTTTTTTTTTTTTTTTAAGTAGATACTATTGCCTTTAGTCATGAGAACTTTTTTTTCATCAAATAACCTTTATTTGTCATTGGCTCTAAAATTCTGATCAGTTTGGCTCAACATGTAATACAGAAAACCAAATCTATCCCTCTACCCCCACTTCCATTTCTACCCACTCCATTTTCATAAGGGACCTTTAAAAAAATGAGGCAATTTTGGGCTAGGGATGTGGCTCAAGCGGTATTGCGCTCGCCTGGCATGTGTGCAGGTCCTCAGCACCAATACAAACAAAGATATTGTGTCCGCCGAAAACTAAAAAAATAAATTAAAAATTCTCTCTCTCTCTTAAAAAAATGAGACAATAGAGGAAATAGATGCTTTTGTTTTTACAAAAAGTGCAAATACATATTATGAACATTTTACTTTCTCAATAGTTATCAGAAGAGAGTGATATATGAAAGAAAACCAAATCTAGTTCAAACAGAAGACAAATTAGCTGATAAACTTTGTTGGTTTAACATACACCACAAAATCTGTAAATTAGACTGAAATCTTAGATCTCCACGATAATGAAGCCAGAATCAGGCAGTCAGTATAGATAGGTAAATTGAGTCAGGTCAGATCAAGGAGGCCAATTTTGAGTGATTCTGGGAAGTTGGAGACTGTCATCCCCTAAGGGATGGAAATGTTAATTCCTTCAGAGACCTATCTCCACCCTTATCAAGAACCCGCCCAGTTCCAATTTGTGATGTGGGTAACCTGTTCCAGAATTGCCCCTCCCTACAGGGAGCTAGGGGATGTTAATGTGTCCTTGGCTTCTCCAACCTGTCCTTCCCCCTTCAGCCCACCTGTTTCCTACCTTTGGGCCATCCCACCGAGCATTCCAGGGCCTAGTCACAGATGCAGGAAGGAGAAAGATAAGACTAGGACTTAAAAAAAAAAAAAAAAGTAGAGCACCTCACTTCTTGGAGTACCAAGATACCAGCTATGGCCCCCTTCTCCCTCCGGGGAGAAATCTGTTACCCCTTTTTAAATAAACCCTGCTTTATATGCTTGCCTCAGCATGCTTCTATAATGTTCAAACCTCAACATGTGGGAAAGCAGGACTCCTCACCAATAACTGGCAATATCAATAATTCACAAATATTTGTAGATTCAGAAACAAAATTATGTGTTGTTTTTGCTTAACCACACATGCCTTCAATGTGGCTCTTCTTGTCCGGCATTTGCCCTTTTCAAACTTTTTTTTTTTCCTTTTTTTGTAGTACTGGGGATTGAACCCAAAGTCTTTTGCATGCTAGGCAAGCCCTCTTTCATGAGCTACATTCCCAACCCCCCTTTTGTTGTTGTTGTTGTTGAAGATGAACAGAATACTTTTAACTTATTTTTTATGTGGTGCTGGGGATGGAACACATGCGAGGCAAGCGCTCTGCCACTGAGCTACAGCCCCAGCCCTCCCAATCTTTTTAGTTTATTTTGAGACCAGGTCTTATTAAGTCCTCCAAATTGCTTAAACCTTACTTTCCACTGACCATGTACAGTGATTATAAGTGTACTTTCCCCTCATATTCTTTTTGGAAAAGACACAATGTATATAAACATGATATTAAAATTAAGCTACGTTAGTCTTGTTCAAACTATCGCCAGTTTGCCCTGGAGTACCAGTGTGTACCATTCCCCAATATCATTTATACCTTTAGATCAACAATGACTTAATTAAGCGCTCATTTTACATTTGAAAATGTAAAAACTAGCCTTCTGCACAAACCCACCCAGTCGCAGTCTGTCATTCTATCTTCCTCAATTTTTCGGCAAACGGAGTCTTTTCTTGCGGCGAAAGGCAAGAAGTCCGGCAACTACCCAGGAAACTACACCCAATTAAAGCAGCAAAATGTCTGAATCCTTGGCTGGATCCCTCTGTATAAAACGATCTGCCTAATCCATGGAGTTGTATTGCCTGGCAAAACCGCGAATCCTTTCGAGTGGTTGCATCTTGTCTCCATAGCAACTGGCCGCGGGCGCCGGGGCCCGGATGTTGTGAGGATCCGCGGTGGTTTGCCCCAGCTTCCTTTGGTCTCCTCAAGGCAGGCTGCACTCCTCTTCGGGAGTTGTAGTTCTCTTCTCTGCCGCCGCCGGGCCTGAGGCGCRGGGTGGACTACAAGTCCCGGCATGCGCTGGGGCACCTCGCCAGCCACCGCCTCCCGGCTGCGGACGCCTCCTAGCAGGTTGTTGTTTTTATGAGAGGCGTCACTGGCGCCCGAAGCAGTGACCGCCGCCACCGTGACAGCCGGCTCCGTCGGGTGGAGGTGGCGCTGCCGCGTCAGGTACAGTCTTGGGCGAGTTTAGACCCCGGGAGCGGAGTAGGGGCGGACTGTCGGCAGCCGTGATTTACRCCCTCAGCTCCGCAGTCTCGCGGGGGCAGAGTGGAGGTCTCACTCCTGCGCGGGGCTGCTCGGGCGGGGACTTGACCCCTGGCGCGCGCGGCCCCACGGGCGAGCTCCTTGAGCCCCGAGTCCAGAGCCCCCGGGGACCGGGCTGGCCCCTGAGGCGTCAGGTCCTGTGATCTGCAGCCTCTGAACCAGCGTGCAGTCCTGAGGTGTTGCCGGGGTGGGGGAGCTGATGCCCCAGCGGACCCTCCCTTTACCCGGTAGGGCTTGGGGCGATTCTCGTCCTGGCTGATGGAATCCATATGGTAACATGTGTGCGTCACTTTGCTTGCCTTTTGGGTCTTTCTATTTTGATGACGTTTGAGCCCCGTGATGCCAGGAATAGAAAGAGTAAAGGTAAAACAATGCAGCAGAGATTTCTCCTCCAACGCCAGCCTCCTCCTTCCTACCTTTCTCTCTCTTCACCGGCCTCCTTTAGCTAGTCTTCCTAAAGGACTTGTCCTCAGTAGCAGCTGTCCCACGCGACGTCTTGTGTGTGTTACATATTTGGCTGTATTTAATGAACCCCAACTCTTTGCCATTGGGAACGACAATTTTAACAAACTCAGCCAATTAAAGTATTTGGTTGAGTGGTGAAATTTGCACTATCCCCCTCTAGCTTTATTAAAGCCAGAATGGAGGTTTCTTGTAACTAGAATAGATAACTACTTTAGTATTGAGAATTTTGGGAGTAATCTCCCACTAAATAGTGCTTGAGATGACACTGTTAGCAGATCATACTTTAGCTTAAGGTTTGACTAGACTCCTCATTTCCCAGGGTTATTTGTCATACATAGCTAATGTGAATGGTTTATTATTCTATTACTAATTTACTATTACTATTTATGCTTTTCTAGTGTGCAGGAGGCCTTGGGTTTCATACCTAGCCCTGGGGAAAAAAAATTCTAATCCATATTTAAAGGCTTTGGGAAAWACTTATTTTAAAATAGAAACAGGTTAGAAGATAGTGTAATTAGAGACAATTTTGAATACCAAGATATAGAATAAGAAGGTGCTTATATTTCTATTGAAAAATAAGGCCAAAAGATATTCAACGTGAAACTACGAATTATTTTTCTTTACTTTGCAGTATTTTTTTAAATATTTATTTTTCAGTTTTCGGCGGACACAACATCTTTATTTTATTTGTATGTGGTGCTGAGGATCGAACCCAGCGCCCCGCGCATGCCAGGCGAGCGCGTTACTGCTCCAACCACATTCCCAGTCCCCTTTGCTGTATTTTTCAAATTTTCTATAGAAAGAAAAGGAATGCAGCAGTTTCATTTCATTTATATGGATTTATCAAACATTACTTTAAAAAGTAGTTACAACAACAAAAACAGTCCCTGTTGCTGAATCTACCGACTGTATGAATTTAAAAGTAAATTATTTTGGAGAGAAGAAGGGAAAATAAATGAATTAGTTGCACTGGAAGGAATAAAAAATGTAAATGATAATAATTCTTAGCATTTGTACTTAGCATTTTTTTCCACCTTGTACAGTAAGATCAAAGATAAAAGTACTTAGCCTTTCATGAGTTAAGTCTGGACAATTCCTATAAATCCATCAGGTGAAGAAAGATTGGACCTACTGGAAAGATCTGAAAGTAGCAGAATTTGTTTATTATTTTTAAGCATTACTATAACCAGGTATTTTAATCTTATTAACATGGAATCACTTTGAGTACTATATTTTATATGTCTGATATTTTGCATTTATTTTTATTTTATTTTCTGTTACTGTTACTTTGGGTATGGATAGGTAAGTAGCATAATTATTTAGTTCACATTTGTTTTGTGACAGAAAGACCACATTGTTCTTCCATAGGAATACTGTATGCATTTTTGCTATTATCAGTCACTTTAAAAAATTATTTACCTCAATGCCAAATTAATTAGTTGGTGTTTTTTTTTTTTTAAGCTGTAGCTGGACACAATACCTTTTTATTTATTTATTTATTTATTTATTTATTTATTTATTTTTTATGTGGTGCCCAGGATTGAACCTGGTGCCTCATACGTGCTAGGTGAACACTCTACTTCTGAGCCACAACCTCAGCCTGCCAAGTTAATTCTTAATGCCCCAATGCCATTAATTTTGTTTTGTTTTGTTTTGTTTTGGGACAAGGGATTGAACGCAGGGGCGCTTACCCACCAAACCACATCTCCAGCTCTTTTTTATAGACAGGGTCTCACTGAGTTACATAGGGTCTCTATAAGTTGCAGAGGCTGGGTTTGAACTCATGATCCTCTTCCCTCAACTTCCTAAATTGCTGGGATTACAGGCATGCACCAATATTGGCTAATGCCATTAATTCTTAATAAAATATCTATATTGTTATTTTTCAGGCAATAGTATTCATATTTTATTTTTTTAGGTTGCCTTGTTTGGAATGTTCCTTCTTTAAATTTCTGTTCTATATTTTCTACATTTTAATTTTGTATATTTTGTGTACTGTGTTGGTTTACTATGTGGTTAGGATTTGGATCCTCTTAACAAAGCATAAGAAGTATTCATAATACATTAACATGTCTGATTTTTGAATAGGTGTAATTGTATTCCTATCTAAATTAAAGATTTTAAAAAATGAGGTCTGAGTATGAACTGCCAGAATCATTAAAAAAAAATAGTATCTGAAAATTTTAAGAACATGGACACAGCAACAAAGCCAATTAAATTTTTAAATTTTGTTTTAAAACAAAATGCAGATTCATCTAACAATGCAGAACCACTAGAGGCTGGATTATTTTTGTGTTTGTGTGGTTAAGGTAAGGAAGTTGCCATAATCTAAGTGATAACTACTGTATTTTGAAGGATTTCCTTCCTGACAGTTCTGCAAATTTGATGAGATTTAAACATCTAAAAATATAAGAAGGTCTTTTTCAGTGTCTAACATCAGAAAAAAATTGAGTAAATCATCTCTCAACTTGAGTTCTAAGATGAAATTTAGCCCTACAATGTGCAAAGGATTGCATCTAACAAAGTTAGGGATTTTTTAAAAAAGGGAATTTAAGGTATGATAAGCTGTAAAAGAGGCTTTAAGATTTTCTGAAGAAGTATTAGAAAATAAGTAGTGTGAATTAAAGATTTTCCTCTTTAATCACATGAAGCCAAAAATCTAATTTTTCTTGAATAATGTCTATAAATCACTATCCTTTCAAAATTTTCTACTTCATATTGCCAGCTTAATGAAGAGTAAAAGGGGCATTGGATTGGGAATCAGGATGTTTTATGATGTTGGGCAAGTAATTTAATTTAGGAGTATCTATTTCCATTTATAAATTGCAATAATACAATAATAGCAACCAGTTGCCTTACTTCTTTTTTCTGAAGATCAAATCAGACATGATTTGTAAGTGACAGTATTATTGGCCTGCATAAGTGACATTTACATAAAGTATATTATACACTTGAAGTGTAATGACTTGACATGATAAATGCTTCTTGATGAAGTTTCATTAAAGTCCAATGGAGCTTCATTTGATTTCTTAGTGAGCTTGGTGGCATTTTCTAGGTTGAAGGAAACCTGGCTCCTCTTCTGACTGTGACTTTGCACTCTGCTGCATTAAAGGCCTTGAAACAGTAGTGTGTTTCTGTGGTTGGGTTTTTAATTTTTGTTTTAATCTCACATCTAAAAGAGAGTATTGGAGCCCTATTTTAACAGGAAGTGGCTACTCTTTCTAAAGTGTTCTAAAATGAGACATTAAATTGATTTTATAAGAAATGAGACTACATTAAGTATGAAATCCCAGGTCCTCTGAGAGATAACATTGCTTACATAAGCAGTAAAGTTTAGCCATCTCCTTCTGGAGAAGTCAGCCCTGGCTGTTATAGCATCTGACTATGGAGATTAACTTCAAGTTTTGTTGACAAACAGCATTCAAATGAAAAGTCTTAGTAATTTAGGAATACATTATAAGGAGTTTATCAGAGTACATAGAGGTAAATGAAAATAAAAGACAAATATATATTGTATCATGGGTTGGTAATTTTTTTAAGTGAGAAATCCATCTTTTTTGGGCTGGGGATGTGGCTCAAGCGGTAGTGCGCTCGCCTGGCATGCGTGCGGCCTGGGTTCGATCCTCAGCACCACATACCAACAAAGATGTTGTGTCCGCCGAGAACTAAAAAATAAATATTAAANAAAAAAAAAAAAAAAGAAATCCATCTTTTTTTCTAATTATTTTTTTTTTAGTTGTAGGTGGATACAATACATTTAAAAATAAAGGTGCTGAGGATTGAACCCAGTGCTTCATGCATGCTAGGTGAGCATTCTACCACTGAGCCACAACCCCAGATCTATACTTTTATCCAGTAGAAAAATGAAAGTTTGAGAATAGCAAAACCCAACCAGGATCCAGTATTTTTAAAATTTATTTCTCTATACAAAGGAAAAAGAGCACCCATGGCTTACAGTAGTACCCAAGTGAGGACAGACTGTAGATTTGTGTGTCTTATATATCTTTTAGCCCTTCCAGACTTTTATAAAATTAAGATATAACAACACGGGAAAATCAAGATTTTTCTCACAATGAGAATATCCTTTGAAAAGAATACTATACTGGCAGTTATTTTTTCTTCAGTGTTTTGGATTCATTATTGTTTACTTACTTTATTT